TTTTTTATTTATTATTAGTAATTAATTTTTTTTTTAATTTAGTTATTTGTTTATTATTAATTATATAATTATTTATTATTTATTATTTATTATTTATCATTTGTTATTTATAAATATTATTATGTAATATATTTTACTTCTTATTTGTTATAAATTATTTATTGTTTGCTATTCGCTATTTATTATATTATTTATTATTTACTTTTAGGTTTTTATATACTTTTATATATTTTTGTTTGTTATTTTTAATTTACTATTAATTATTTTTTATTTATTTAATAATATTTGTCAAACATCCGCTTTTTTGCTCTTCATTCAATGCTTTATAAAAAATGTTACAGTGATCGGATTTAGTTAAAATATGCGCCGTTTTGTTCGATGATCTGTTTCCATCTAGATTTCATCTTCATAATACCTTCCTCGTAGAAGCCCCCCTCCTTATTNAATCTTGCATAGCGTTGTTTTGTAGGTTATGTCAAGACCTTTCAAATTATGAATACGAGCTCTGTAGCGCTTTGTACGTAGCAGCGAAATTCAAAAGACAAAAAAGCGGAAGGGAGATATTTGACAACCTAATATAATAATTATTATTAATTTTTAATTAATTTATTTTTTGATATTTATTATTTATTACTTATTTTTTTTTGTATAGTTTTATCTTTTTTGTTTATTATTTTTTATGTATTATTTATTAATTATATACTTTTAACTATTTTTTATTTTTAATTTTGTATTATTTACTGAATACTATTTATTCATTATTTTTATTTAAATAATTTTAGTATATTTAATATATTTTTTGTTTATTTATTTAGTTTGTTTTTTAGCTGTTTTCTAGCATCAGGTTTATTCCTAACCTGTTAGGAAAAGCATTTAGCATTTGAAATGAATTATATTGAAAGTCCTTATCTACTTGAACTATATATGCATATTTCTTTCAATGACTCGAAATAAAAGCAAAAACCGAGCCAACCCATTTTTGATTCATTTTGAACTAGTGTAAAATCAACGTTTTCAAAATACCGTTGTTATACTTTTATAAAATGAGAACAGTTTTCTGTTAAACTGGATAGTTTCGAAGCAGTGTTTAACAAGTTTTTTGAAGGTAAATATATTGATAGATACATATACATATATATGTATGTATATGAAATTTTTCACTTTTATTCCCCTTTAAATCATTTTTATATATAATAAATAGAAAAAATTGAATTTGTATTGAGAATGTGAATGGTTCATTTTTGGATCATTTGGAACTAGTATGAGACTAGTATATGTATGACAGCAATACGACAATTATTAGGTATTAGAATTTCGACATGTTAAAAATACCATTGTAAACGATTTTATGAAAAAAGTTGCAACCTTGTCTCAAAGTAGTCCTTAACTAGTTGTCTTTACTACAATTGCATTGCTGGGTAAATATTATATAACAGCCATATGCACTGTCTGTGTATATTGAGCCATTTTTTTGGCAAAAATTTCTATGCCTATTTTTGTTTACCGTTCAAAAATAATGAATAATACAGATGTAAATTGTATATGCATGTGTAAATATGTACTCGTATGTACATATATATTTACCTATATCACTGCGAGTATAACAAATATTAGCATTTGTTGTGCAAGGCTCAAATCATTACTGATATGGTGAGCCGTAAGCTTACTCCTACTTTATGTAAGTTTAACACGTGGCATGTACATATGAGTATATATATGTATGTATACATAATATATTTATGAATAGTGGGCACCTTATTGTGCATTATTGATGTTATAACTGCATTTACATGCACTTCTTATTTAATTTGATTGTCAATGTAGTTCAGAACATAAATATTATACATACATATATACATACTCATATACATATATGCAATTGCTCTTTGTCCGTGCGCTCTAATGATAAACAATGGTTGAACAAATTTGCAGGTACAACTGACATACACACAAATGTACATATAAATTTGTACATTTCAATTCCAAAATCATCTCTGTCATCTCAGTATTATCTGTGGCACTCGTGTGGTGATATTATTAATATGCAAGCATACATATTTACATGTGAAACCTTATGAAATGATTAAAGAGGACGGATATGAGAGGAAGCAACGTTTCAGTTTAGTTTTCTTTAAAGAAGTAAGCTTTACTTGAAAGAGGCTGCGCTGGTGCGTTAGTCTTCTGATCGAGTTGAGTGAGAGTGACGGCGGATCTATGATTTTACAGACCCTTTTTAATACACCCATGTATCATATAGCCCTGTGCCGACCGATTTGCTTGGTTATATCTGTAGCCGGAGCTGAGACAGTTTGGTAGGCATTAGAAGATAAACCACAGATCTTTCGGCTCACTCACCAAGGCACTTAGATTAGAAATATCTCTTCAGATTTTTCGCAGAAACAGTAAGATGACGATAGTACACGCTGCCTTGGAATGATGCATATTATTTTGGAGGATCAGCACTATTATGGGCAGTGGTTAGATTCATTCTTTCGTCTTCCTCTGCCTCTGAGAAGCTTAAGACTGCGACGTCAATACCTTCCTGTCTATTTTCGATATGCTAAAGCTGAGTTTTCTCTCTTGACAGCGAGGCCGCTTTACTTTCAGCACAGTATCCAATATGGCTAACGTTGAGACGAGGCTCAACTGGCTTAGTCATGGTATTTCTAGTTGGTCCGAGAAAGTTTGCAGCCTTTTTGGCTGGTGATGTCCTTGCCGTCTCATATTACCATTGGATTTGTTTGGATAAGCCGAGGCTGGCGAGTCGGCAGGACCGCTCATGACATTTTCTTCTGCTCTCTGCTGCGTCTTACCTTTAACTTTGTGGATATTGAATATTATGAAACGCTGCTTCTCTTTGACGCCGCCAGCCTGAACTATTTTCCAGCCTCTGGTGGGTAGTTCTTTGTTGTTAAATCAGATGAGCTCAAGAATTTCTTTCGATTTGCACGGGTTTCAAGGGAATCTGGTCTATGTTCAAAGCTTACAGAAGACTTATTCCTGCTCAACTGGCATCAAGTCTGCTGCAGGGAAAATGTCTAGCCATGCAAAGTTTTACCGTTCTTTTAACTGAACACGAATAGAGTTTTTTTTGGGTTCTTTGGGCAGCCTGCGGTTCTACAAAACCCATGGCAAAACTCTCTTCCAAGCAGCGGAAGAAGTCTAATAGAACACCTCCAGTTTATAACCGCTACTTTAAATTCCTCTCTTGGCACTTTACTGAAAATTTTGGCAACTTGTGATGACGCTTTGTGGTGCTGCTGAGGTTATCATCTATGCTGCTGAAGGTGAGGGTTTTTGATGTCTTTCCTAAAGTTCGATAAAGTTTAATGCCTAATTGAACACTTTGTTGCTCAGTAAGTTGAACTGTCCTCTCTTGAACTGTGCTGCAGGATCTAATGGCTTGGGAGCGAGAAGAGAACTTGATGGAATCCAAATTGCTTTTCGTATTAGCAGATTGGGCTTGAATGGAGCATGACGTTTTGCTCGTGCGGAGGGTTTTGCATCAGTTCCCTTACTGTGCGAAGTAAGGGATGGCTTCCGCTAGCTGTTGATTGTCCTCGTGAGACCCAGGAGTCTAATAGATCTAAACGGATTTAAAAGAGTGGGTTTTGCAGGATTTTTCATCTCCGTCGATGCTGTTCCCGGTGAGGTAAAGAATAGTTCGATATCGCCATGTACATCGGCAGCAGTTTTTCAGGTAGCCGAGTACTTAACAGTGCATGGTGCCATTCCGAAGGTCAGGGTTCGATCCCTGTTGAATGTTAGCTGATTCAAAAATAATGGATAATTAATTTAAGTAGAAAATTAAGCTAATTTTTCGAATTGGCGACGCCACCAGGGATTGTCAGCGCCTCTGAGTATTTTACTGTCATTAAAATCCATTAATCATTAGAAGCTGGCTTAGTACAAGGTATAGGCGTGTCTTTATGCTGGAAATATATCAGAACGCACAGCAAAAATAGCAGCAGGAAGTGTTCGGCCGAAAATTGCCTAAACGAGATGGGTGTATGTTATTGCTCATAACAACTGTTTCGGTGTTCAACTACTGAGTTGAGTCCTTTTGGTGTTTGAAAAGTTGGGAAGCAGAGAAAATGTGCGACTACGGTCGCAGAATATTGGCGTTAGTTTCGGTGGTAGACCTTTATATCGGAGGGCTACTTTCGCATATTTCTAACTATCAACGAACCAATGAGCACAGAAATTCTGACTTAGAGAAGAAGGAAATGCTCAACACCTGCCAGTTAAAGATCAGCGATCTATGCGACTCCTCATCGCTCAGTAGCTGGCATTAAGACGTTAGAGACTAGCTACCCGAGTTGCGACCTTAGTGGGTATTCTACATTTTTCAAACCCTCCGAAATCCTTCAATTTCTGCTTAAGACAATCCCTTTTAAGCGACATAAATATTCCTCACGAGAATTTCAATATTAAATATGTAAATTTACACAAATATTCATTGCATAATTCAATTTTCGCTGTTCATATTATCTTTTGTATTATCATTTTGTATTATCCTTTCATCACACACACACAGACACACACACACGCATATATGGCTTCAGGTAAACTGATTAATGTGTCCTTTAATGCATGCAGCATTGAGATACATAAAGCAATGTATGCCTGTGTATTTTTTGGCCTACAATTGTAAACACACACACACATACACACACATACACATTGTACTTTTCACGTTTTCCACACACGTGCGATAATTTTCAGCTGTCATAACAAAAATACACGCTGCTGGTAAATATCAAAAGAGAGTGGGATTCTTTTGCTCTTTCGAAAGGTTTCTCGTATTGCCTACAGCATTATCGCACTCATCACTTCTCTCTCTGTGTGTGTGTGTGTGTGTGCATGTATGACAACAATAAACATTGGTTAATGTAAATAATCTTAATAATGAACAACGCATCATAGATATCAATAAATATATGCATATATACACACACCTACATGTACATAGGTAGATAAGAGTATGCATGTGAACTCACCTGATAGCCTTCGATGTGTTGACACTAGCACCATCCTTGTACCATTGGAATTGCATGCGCGATGATCCTTGAGCGGTGCAGGAAATTATAAATTCACTGTCTTCACGTATCGCTGATTTTTGATTAATTGTCAGTTCCTGTTAAGAGTGAAAGTGGAAGTGAAATGAAGTGTTGTACATACATATAAATACATATACATATACATATATATAAATAATTGTGTAAAAATAACATCGCATGGCTCGAGGACTTCAAGGATATTGTAAATGAAAGAGAAACTCAACAAATGTATATTTATTGTTGCTGTTGCAAATATAAATAATTTAATGTCTTTTATCAGCGAAAAACAACAAAAACTAACAATGCACTGTGGCAAGAAACTCTCCAGGCTTCAAGCTTATAAGAAACATCGGCTGATAAAGACATAAAACATATTTTCATATTTTCAGACGAACGCTAAGCAGGCGGTGAGTCCTAACGCCTGAGGGTTAGGGGCTTAAGAATTTACCCGTAGTAAGACATGCTTGTCGTAAGAGGCGACTAAAATCCAATAGTTTCCGCGACAGTCGGGTCTTTATACCGGAACGACCCGGATTTTTATCCAGCCAAGGACTGTCACTCACGCAATATTACCCGAAAGTCAATTCTGGGAATAATTTGCGGTTACAACAACAACAACAGGCGGTGAGTCCTTGAAATTCTTTAAAAAAAAATTGAATTCGAAAATAGTAATTTTTTTGAAGAAATGGGTTCATAGGAAAGCCATTTGAACCTCTACTGAAGTTAATTTTTATTAAGATACGGCACTGCATACAAGTTTTCGGAAGACCAAGTTAGGAGACCCTTTCCGACGAGCCATTAAAATTGTAGCAAAATAATTTTTTTAGCTGCGGTCACGCTTAGACAGGGCCTGTCAAGTCTTCGGCGTATATTTTAGACATCAAATAAGAACTCCTCTTAAAAGACCGTTCGAAAACGGTTTGGGAAAAACTGTAAAACATTAATACCTACACAAGAAGTTGGAGGTGCAGCTCGGTTGAAAATAGCTTTAGGGATTACAAAGCGCCAATATTTCTATATATGAAAATCTTAAGCTCGTTTGAAAAATTCAGTTATCTCCAAAAAGCTCCAGAAAGCTCCAAAAATCTCCAAAAAGCTCCAAAAGTCTCCAAAAAGCTCCAAAAATCTCCAAAAAGCTCCAAAAATCTCCAAAAAATCTCCAAAAATCTCCAAAAAAAAAGCTCCAAAAAGCTCCAAAAAGCTCCAAAAAACTCCAAAAAGCTTCGAAAAGCTCCAAAAAATTTACAAAAAGCTCCAAAAATTATCGGCCGATTGACTAGAAACTTCGTCAGATTGGTGCTGAGATTCTTTGAAAGGTTTAACCGAAACTTTCGGCAAGCGAACCAGGCACTCACCTATTCGGAGAAATCTTATTTACGGTTCGATTTTTTTGAAATTAGGTTTGGAAGGAAAATTACTCCTCTCTCCGTGGAGTGGATGAATGTCAATGTTGTATTCCACCAAGTCTTGAGTAAATAAAGTTCATGATGAAGAAATATACCCCTGATTAATTTTTCATGCATTCGATGAGTTTGAGCGACAGCGTCGTAGGGTACAATCTAGGTACAGCGCATGGTGGAGTTCAAGAGGAGAGAGAGAGAGCATCTCTTTAACGATGACCACCACACAGCTTAAGTGATCACCGCCATAACCTCTTCTTAACGGCAATAAACTGGTGTAAGAACATTTTACAGGATTTTAGTATAGGTTAGGTACTAATGGCTGCCAAGAAATCACATCGTTGGCATACTGAAGCAGAATAATATGAAGTCCAAAACAAAAATCTACGCATTAAAAGAACTCTGATGAGGTACATTCGGATCAAAAAAACTAGGTTAACTGGAGTGAACCTTCCAGTTATATGGTGTCAAAAATTTAAAACCCAGCACCGAAGCCGGAAGCAGGAGTCACATAAAAATAGCTGATCGTTAACTCCTGCTTATCACGCTTGGAATGACTGCATCAACTTTTACAAGAAGCCCCTCGGTCTCTCTGGCTGCTGTCCTATCCAACAGTGGCGTATGAGAACTGTTATTACCTTGACTATGTTCCTTCCTTTTAAGGAGTACACTTCACATGACCTCTTTTCTCGCTGAGTCAGTCAGATATGCCCAGTTTAAGCTGGAAGTAATAGTTTCAAACCACCTTAAATCGGCCTGTACATGGGTAAAATACTTGAGAGGTGATACTAGACACTCGCCCAGCAGATTTTGCTTCTTCTTCTTCAATACAACTAGATAATCTAGTACACTCTTTTTCCTTTTACGGAAATTAGAGCATGTATAATGCGCATGTAGCCACATTGATGGTGGACAGAATTGCACACACTTTGGAGGTCATGTAGGAAGCTTTTCAATAAAGCTAAACACCATCAAAAGACCGTCACTAGCAAGTATATAAAGATTAACTCAGGGTCTACCTGTACTACTTCTGGAAAGGACACTATTTCTAGATACTCCTAGCCCTGGCAACTGGCAGAGTCATATAAGCAATACAAACCTTCGACAAGAAGACTATATTTGGAGACTATTTTGAAGAAGCTTCATTGAAAAACTTCTCTGCAATAAGGAATTCTGTCCTGTTGCCGCCCAAAATACGGAGGGAGCTTTTGACGACATCTTAGCAAGCACAGTTGTGGCTTTGTCGACACTTCATTTGTGGATTTAATCAACTAATTGCTATTAAGCAAGGTTACGACCGCGAACCTGCAAGGATATCATCCATACAGATACGTCAACAGAAAGGCAAAGTCAATGCCTATGACGGTGTATCGCCATACCATACAGAGGCAGTTTCCACAGAAATACTTTGATTCTGGAACGACTTAGAAAGATAACGTCCGGGGCTATCCGTTGTGGTCTCTTTTTCAACTCGAACGAAGTGGAACTTCCGCTGATTAAACGTACCGGTACTGTACGTCTTTTGTCTCAAGGGTACGAGCAGGCTGTTACTACACTCTTTACATGAGAAAACGCTATGGGCAGGTGTTGAGATCTAAGCCACGCATCCTTCACATTACGAAATTGTTGCTGTAATTAAAAAAGATTCTAAATATGCAAAGAAGCAGCAAAACATTTCCCAGCTGGATTATCACCTACTTTTCCGTTCATTCAAGCGTGCGTATACACACACACTTACACACATAAAGAGCGATAAATATAAAAAGGTATTAATTAAAATACAAATTGCGATCATCTGCTGATATTATGCGCCACAAATGTCATTCAAGAGTATCCTTCATGGTCATTGTGCTGCAGGCCAATGTGGATTGTGAGGCATAAAATATGTGTTCATTGTTGTTGTGAAAGCCTTTTCATAGCTACAATGGTATATATTGCAATTATTGCTATAAAAACATACGAGTATGTATGTATATGTGTATTTATATGCTTCTTTGCATGCATGTGTGTGTGTGTGTGTGTGTGTGTGGGTGTCTGCATTTGATTGATTGATTGATCTATCAAGCGTATAACACTTGGCCATAAGAACATTTTCACTAACAACAAAAACAACAATAGTTTTTAAAAATGCCAATAACATGGCTGATACACATACATATACATATGTGAGCATATGTACACATGTGCAGTTCGCATGTTGTTCAGTTATTTTTAATGAGTATATTGTTTATAGATTCATGAATAATTATCATCTCTGTTATGCAACTACCATTGCTGGTATATTGATGGCAAACAATTTAAATTATTTACAGACTGTATAATGTATTGTATATAAGTATGTATGTGTGTTTATATATAAAAATGTGTTTTATTTTCATTGACCCAAGTGTGAAGGTGTTAAGTGCTGTTTTGCGCAAGGTTACACACAAAAGCAGTAAAATTTCGTAAATATCATACTATGGGACTAATTTGACCATAGGCACCAAATTTCCAAACATAAAATATAGCCAACCATTAAAAATAGCCAAACATAAAATATGGTCAAACATAAAATATGGCACAACATAAAATATGGCATAACATTAAATATGGCCAAACATAAAATATAACCAAACATAAAATATGGCATAACATAAAATAAAATATTAAAAAAATTGCTCAGCATAAAATATGGCTAACTAAATAAGATTACTGCACTTGACACTAAATATGGTAAAACATAAAACATTTGCTAAACATAATATTATACTTTCTTCAATAGAAAAATTTGGCAAATATGCATGGTTAAGTAAATTCAAAATTAATATTTGGGTTAAGTAAATTAAAAATGATTTGGTTAAAAAATTGGTTATTATAAAATAATGCTTATCTTAAATAATGCTAGCCATAAAATATTGTCAAACAGAAAATATTATCAAACAGAAAATATTATCAAACATAAAATATTGATAAACGTAAGAAAGTACTGAACAAAAAATATGGTTTATAAATTAAAGATAGCTGAACATCTTCTTCATAAAATATTTCTTATTATAAAATAATGGTAGTCTTAAAATATTGCGGCTTATAAAATATTTACAAACAAAATATTTTTATAAAAATTGATTTCTGTCAAATTTCGAATAATAAAATGAAATACTTCTAGAAATAAAAATTTCTTAACATAACATATTTCTTAACAAAATATATTTCTTAACATAAAATTTAAGTTAACACAAAATAATACTTGCAATATATTGCACATCAGCCTGATTGATGTTGGTATACAAATTTTTATAAAATATTGTTAAACATAAAGTATTGCCAAACAAATAATTTAGATAAATTTAAAATATTTCCAAAATACTAAAATAATTTTTTTCCCACCAAAAAAGATAATAATTTAATAAAAAAAAGTTTGCTTGACATAAAAAGTAGCTAAATAAATAAAAAAAAATTTTAAATAAAATAACATAAAATTACCATAAATATTGTAAAAACTTACTTAACATCAAATATTAATTCTAGAACTTGGCTGAAATCTAAAGAATTGCTTAACATAAAATATGGTTTAACAATAAATCGTTATTAAACATATAAATATTTGTATTCAAGTTTTCAAGTATTAACTATTGCTGAACAAAAATTATACTTAAGCATAAAATATTGTTTGACATAAATATCTTTTAACATAAAGTGTTGTTTAACATTAAAAATTTTAGAACAAAACACTAATTTTGGACATAAAATATTGCTAAGAAATGCTGTTGAGTATACAATTTTGCCAAACATACAAATTATCTTTTGAAACTGCTTAACATACACCACTAAACATAAATTATTGCCAAACATAAGCATAAAATATAACTAAACATTAAATATTTTTAAACAAGAAATAATTTATTACAAAATAACGCTACTGAGCATAGAATATTATTAAACAAAAAAAAATTCATAACAAAAAATATGTCTTGACATTAATTATGACTTAAGATGTTTTCATTTTGGTGTCTCAGAAATATTGAATACTTTTGTACTATTGTAATTAACGCAGTTACTCTTAAATAAGGCATAAATAATTTCAAAACATAAACCATTGTTTAACATAAAAAGCTGCACATCAATTATTACAAAATAACGCTACTGACCATTGAATATTATTAAACAAAATAAATCATTCCAAAAAATATGTCTTGATATTAATTATGTCTTAAAATGTTTACTGACCATAGAATATTAATAAACGAAAAAAAATTCATAACAAAAAATATGTCTTAACATTAATTATGACATAAGATGTTTTGATTTTTAGCAAATATTTTTGGATGCATGACACACAGTGCCTGCATACTTATGTACCCTTTAAAGCAACTGTTTTTTTTTTTTTTTTGCAATACATATTTCTTTTACATATGTACATGCCTACGTACACATACACACACCTGCATACTTATGCATAATGGCATTTTTAATTAAAAGTGAGCGACGTTTGTAACAAAAATTTTAAAAGTAAACGAGTGTGTAAATATTTAATGCCCATTGCATACATACGCACATACATAGGTGTACCAATAAATATGTATGTATTGTATGTAAATAAATAAATTTTTGCTTATATCCATATAATTGCACAGATGATCTTGTGTGGCTACGCTCATTGGTAGCGTGTATACACGTATGTTTGTATGCAGGTTTGGCTGCAAAAAGTTAAAAGCTTTGCTGCTGGGTTATTTAAATTCTTTTTATTTATTTATTTATTTTGTTATTTTTGTTTTACATTCACAGAAACAAAAACAGCTGCGCAGTGTGAGAAAGTAGTTATTTATGTAAAAATGAAAGTGTTAATTGATTTTTTATCGCTTTCACTATATTTTTATGCCGCTCAAGTACTCCTTTCAATGCGTGCAATACATATACATACGCTCGTATATATAGGTATGTATGCTTTTGCGCCTCAAATGGGAAAATATTAATTAACACTTATGAATATTATCAGACACTGTGTTCGGCACATAATCATTATTATTGAACTCATAAACCTGTGCGCAGCAGCTGTTACAAAAACACTTTTGAAAGACTTTCAAGTGATGGTAAATTTAATTGCGGTTTTGTTATCGAATTGTTGTGGGATAATTGTAATTATAGCTTTTAATTTAATACCTAGTTTTTTTTTAATACAATAAGGCCTGTATCCACAGTGTGCCTACGATGTTTTTTTTTTTTTTTTGAAAAAAGAATATTTTTTATTTTAAATGATTTTTTTTTATTTTTCAATTAATTTTTTCATGCAAAATTTTTACTGTTTCACTACTTTTGAATCTTCTCTTCACAGAATTGAAGTCGAAAACATTTTTTTTACCAATTTTTACATTTCACTACACCAGTATCTGCTGAGGAAACCCTTGACCCTCTAATAAGAATAACAAACTGAAACATTCATAAGCAGATCATCGGACTGATAAGGAGGGCAACAGCACACATAATAAAAAGTTTAGTAACAAAAAAGCAGATCAGTTGGGCACTGATGGCCTTCAGACCATACGAAAGCCCTCAATCTGAAGAAGTATGTAAGTACGAACCAGCTGCAGCAGTCCCTGGATAGTAGTGGCCGCAGGCTGTATGTCAGATGAGATGGAGTCTTGAGTCTATACTAAACGCCGACCGCAATCCCTTTTGATCTGACTTGAAACCTCGCGTAACTCCACCTACGTGAAAAGTGTTTGGTAGCAAAGTAGGAAGGCTTGAGATGGCAGGAGTATCTGTGACCATTGGGCTCTTCTGTGCATCCGTTTGGTAGTCGAAGTAAGTAGCTGACAAAACTCAGCCTAACCTAACCTAGAAAAACAGGTACAATATCATTCATTGACGCTATGGAGAGCACTCTCCCAAAATGTGTGTCTCCTTCAAGGATTAGGGAAACGCGTCCATTTTCTCTATGAGTCTTTAATTTCCTCACAACTTCAATTTTAAATAAAAGACTTTTTTCCCTCTCCCCTTTTGAGTCAATATTAAAGGATTAAATTCTAAACCAAAATACCCTGCTTCAGTAGTAGATTATTATAAGGCTTTACAGTCATGAAAAATAGAAAATTCTCATAGACAAGAACAAATTCATAAATATTTAAATATTTATTTTAAAAATACTCACCAACAAATTCAGCGGTGGATTTTCATCGAAGAGATGATAATTCGACACGAGTGTAATATTTCCAATGCGGCCACGCTCCACCATGCGGGTGATGGCCTCACGTATGCGATTCGAATCGCCTTTAATGCCAAAGAAATGAAATGTGATGTCCAAGCGATCGGTGCTATTCGAGATTAATTCTAAATCGCTGATTTTGGTGATGTTAAAATTGCGCAAGACGCGCATGAGCTGGAAGAGAGAGTTTAAAAGAGAAAATAGGGGAATTAATGGCTTTCCTTTTATTTAAATTTATGCTTTTGTATGGAAAATGCAATTCTAGGGATTTTATTTAAAAAAAATAATTAAAGATTTCTTTGAACTGTTATTAATAATTTAAAACCGCTGACTAACGGTCTGGCGCAGCTTTTTCGTATGCCACTCAGCGTTCTCATTCATTATTGTTGGAATTTATTTAATTCACTTGAATTTATTGTTGTTTGTTTACATTGGAATTTCCATTTAACAAGACTTTTATTATGCGCCTATATTAAGTGTTCTTAAGTAATCACCGAGAATCCCTGCTGAATGAAAGCAAAAAATTATTTTTGTTTTTCTCCTCTTTTTATAGGCAGCCTTGTACCTTTTTGCAAAACAAAAAATATAAATAATAAATTTATGCATGCAGGGCAATGAGAAGGGAATTCAATAGGCAGCGGCATAATATATATAATAATTTTTCTATTGATAATTCTGTTTATTGCTGTTCGTACTTGGAAATGGGCATAAGGAAAATTGTGGAAAAGTAAATAAAAACGCTTTGCCAAGTTCGTAGAATGTAATTATGTTTTGCAAGTACTAGTATATGTATATATCATTTTTTCCTGAGCTGTAGTAAACGTATTATCCAAATATAAATATCAAGGTTAAGCAATTTGAATGATTAAGAAAAATTTTAAGCATCTTTTATTTTTTCTCAGTGAACAAAATTTAGTTTTAAAATTTATTTATATTTTTTTTATATTTATATTTATATTTATATTTATATTTATATTTATATTTATATTTATATTTATATTTATATTTATATTTATATTTATATTTATTTATATAAAATAAAACAAATCTAAATTAAAAATTCACCTTAAGGTAGACTTTAATGTCCAAATACAAAACATACTTACACATGCTTATAAGTACATATTACACACCCTATCATATTACGGTATTTGAACGTTAATACAATTTGGCAAATAATAGTATTGCGGTTTAAGCATACAACAAAACATAAGCATAAGAAGAGGTGGCAGATTGAATCTTGTGCATAAATACATATGTATAGGTGTATAAATGTATGTAAAGACAGCATAAACGGATTAGAAGAAAATTGTCTTGGTGTGCATTACATGAGTTGTATTACGTAAGTAACAGCTACACAAATACACATATGTATACTCGTACATATGGACAGTCGTTCATCAGCGGCTGCGCTTACAAATGTGAACGTATGTGAGTTTTTTTTTCTTTTGCCAAAAAATTGAGATGAGCAAAATCCTTAAATTACAAAGGTCTTTAACGGTTGTAGAAGATGAAATGAAATGGAAGCAGCAGAGACTTGCATATGTAGTGTTAGTTTTTATATTAGATGCTGTTTGAGTGGTAACAATCATTGGATGAAGTCATTAACTCCTCTGTAGGGAAAAATGAAACTGGTTACAAAGTTTGCCCGTTTGACACTAGTCCGAAAAATAACAAATTGGCCATAATTTTAAGGCTTATTGAATTAGTTATAGCAATTAAAACTATCATATATTTACTTTTTTATCCTGGTTTAGATATGTTCAAAAATGAACTGGTATGCGACTAGTTTATTTCCCTTTAAAATCAGTTGTTTCTTTGGATATTAACGTATTACAGTTCTAAAATACCGTGATATTGAATAGACAGTTGCATAATTAGCTGCATCTATTTGACAACCAGCTCGAAAGTGATTTGTAACTAGTTCGCTTCAAACTAGTGTTCATACGTATGTATAGTATAATTTATACTAGTATGTGTATAAATATATAAAATGAGTTGAAGTGAAATATAAGAACTTTGTCAAATATATAATTTTATACCCATGAATATCGATTTATATTGACAATATTAACATGAAAATGTAACACGAGAATTAAAAGAACTTGATGAGAGAGGACATTTATAGGAAAAGTTACATATAAACAAACTATTCAAATAATATTTTGTTTACTGTTATTATCTTTTTCAATCTTAATGCAACGTTTAATTCGAATAGGAAGGAAAAATTTCCTTTCATGATTTATAGGAACTCAAAGCTCTGGGTACTACTAGTCAACATATAAATAATTAAATTTTTTTTTCGAAATCACCCTGATTACGGAAAGGCTAGAGAAATCGACTTGCTAAACAAAACATTTCACATGTTTTTATTGCCCTTTTTTGGCGTAGAAAAATTTTATTAGTACCAAGTTCCTCAATTATTTTTAGTTTGCTATAGATATCTTAAAATTTTTATTACTTATTTTATTTTATTTTTTTTTTCTTTATTAAATTTAATTTAATATAATATAATTCAGTTTAACTTTTTATTGAATTTAACATAACATTTTTATATTTTACTTAGCTTTATATAATGCTTTTATTTAATTTTATTTTATTTTATTTTATTTTATTTTATTTTATTTTATTTTATTTTATTTTATTTTATTTTATTTTATTTTATTTTATTTTATTTTATTTTCTTTTAATTTATTTACTTTAATTTATTATAATTTAATTTATCTTAATATAAGTTAATTACTTTTTTTTTCTTCTTTAATTGATTTAATTATATTTTATGTTATTTTATTTTAATATTCTTGTTTTATTTAGTTTTACTTTGAATTGTTTAGCCTTTTTATCCTTTTTATTTCATTTTATTTTTTTATTTCGTTTTTTTTTTGTGAATAGTTTTTTTTATTATGAAATAAGATATTTTATATTTTAAATTTAATTTAATTTAGTTTAATAAAATTTTTTTAGGTAAAAGTTTTTTGCTTAATTTAATAATAATATGGGCTTTAATTCTCAAACGAACTTAAATTTTTTATTCGCGTTTGGATGTAATGTAAAATAATATATTTATTTGTGTTAAAACAGGAACAATACCAAAAATAAATCATAATTTTTTTTGTGTTAAAAATTCTATACAAAAGATGATTCCCAAAGTGCATCAACTGATCTCAGGCTCGCTCTGCTAAACGAAATCACCTTCGATAAATATAAATCAAATATTGCGAGCAGCAATGCTTGAAAGAGATAGAAAGGAATCACCTTAAGAACATAGTAGGAAATGTACAAAAAAAAAAAACACAAAAAAAAACTTAATAAAAATAAATGAAAACACCTACAGAGTAGGAAAACCAAAAAATATTAAAAAACGAAAGGGAGGTGAGCGTCTGAGCAGCATTAGGTATGCAGGAGCAAAAGTGAAAAGCACGTCCAAGGGATATCTAAAGTATTCAACCCACCGCTCAACAACCACACCCACGCACTCACACTCATACATCCGCTCGCCGAAAACAAGCAATCTGCGTATATTGGCTATCTCATAGTGCAAAGTTTGCCAGGCGTCACATTTTCGCTGTCACGTTGTATTCATTTTTGAAATGAAGGTAAACGTTTAGAGATGATCTATAATCATTTACATAAGCATAATATCGTGAGGATAACAGCAAAAGCCGAGTATAGCAGAACAAGTACAAACATACATAGCAGATAGGAGATGACAAGTTGAATTTGGGTTACTCAGGTAAGCTGATGCTGAGAATTTAGCTTCTGGCCTGGGCAAAGAGATTTTGGTGCAGGAAGTTAGTAGACGCTTGCGTTTAGTTTGAGATGTGGGTCTTACACCCTAACGGACAAAAACCATAACTGTAAATGAGAATTTAGAAACCGTGCTGCCTGCGTTCGGAGTTTACCATGCTTGCATATTTATATACTAAATTTTTTTAGCTATCACTGAAGATATATGCAAATGAGATAAACGTGTAGGAAAATAAAAAATAAGAGCGAAGGCATCAATGATTCTACTGATTTTAAGCAAATTGAAGGAAGCCTGTAGACGCAATAAACTAATAACAGAATTAAAAAAAAAAAACAAATTGAAGTCAAATAAAATACAAAAAAATAAATAAAATAAACAAAAACAATAATATAAAATAATATAAAACCAAAAAAAATAAAAAAAAATATTGAAAAATAAAATAAAACAAATTTGAATAATATAACATATAATAAAATAAAATAGAATTAAGTAAAATAAAGTAAAAAAATTAAAATAAAATAAAATAAAAATAAAAAATAAAAAATAAAAAATAAAAATAATAAAATAAAATAAAGTAAAATAAAATAAAATAAAATAAAATAAAATAAAATAAAATAAAACAAAACAAAGTAAAATAAAATTAAATAAATTAAAATAAAATATAATAAAATAAAACAACGTAAAATAAAATAAAATAAAATAAAATAAAATAAAATAAAATAAAAAAAAATAAAAAAAAATAAAATAAAATAAAATAAAATAAAATAAAATAAAATAAAATAAAATAAAATGAAACCTTATAAAACGGATTAAAATAAATTAAAATAATCGAAATAAAATAGTATAAAATAATATATAAAAATTAAAAAAATGGAGAAAATAAGGTAAAATAAAATAAAGTAAATAAAATAGAATGAAATGACATAAAATCAAATTAAAAAAAAAATATATATATAATGAAATACTGTTTATAAATATTAAATTCAATATAATAAAGGAAACTGAAAAAACTAGGATAGAATATAATAAACATATTCAATTAATTTAAATCAAATGTGATAAAAAAAAAAATAAAAAATAGCATAATTTTTCACTTTAACTACGCTTTAAAATTTGTTGTTGTACTCATGTTTTTGGAGTTGAATAACATCTAAGCAACTAAGAAGAAAATGTGAAACTGCGAAACAACGAAAATTTTCCAGCTTTTAATTTTTGCTTGAATAATTGCTACGTCGTTGAGATGACATGCCGTCTTGTCACGCTCCAAGTCACCTAAAATCCATTGCATCTCACCATCTACTTAACACTGACAGTCTGCTTTCATCGTTTTTTGCCTCATTTCTGCTCGCCCTTGCACTCCTTACTCTGCGCGAGTATTTTTCGGTCGCAATTTACACCTGACGTTTCGCCCGACTGCAGAAAGTTT